TCAATGGGGTTTTGGAGGTTAAAACTATTCAATTATAGTCCTGAATGAATTTTCTATTGAAAACTTTAGGTTATCATGAAAAGAAATGTGAAACCTTCTATGCCTTCATAGTTCTCAATGTAAATCCATTAAAATATCTGCAATTTTGATTTGTAGTTGTCAGTGACCAACACTTACTATTCTGTAATTATTTTTGATTTTAATGAAATGGCATTCATAATTCAGTGATACAGGATATATTAAAACATCTTTAACTTACAGTAGTTTATCTTTTACATAAATGTTAAAAAATATGATTTTGAATATACAAAGTTAATATTTGATTTTTATTATTTTTAAAGGATAAAGTTTAGTTAAGGTACTTCATATGCTTTAGAACAGGCGTATTATTTGGTTTCCATAACAGTTTCATTTTTGCAAAGTTGGACCATTTATTCAGAGAATAGAGAGACATAGATAATTGCAAATCTGTCAATTATATTACAAAATTGCATAAATAGAAATACAAGGGCTTCAGACAATGATGATCTGTCTCCTCTCTATACACATAGGAAAGAGATTTTAGCTTTACAGAGTCATTGTAGCAATTTTTACTCCCAGTCATTGGGATAAAAGGATGTTTCCAACCAGGACCCCTTACTTTCAGATATCATATGTGCAACCCAGTATGTCACCCATCTGGCATTCGGCATTTGGCATGCATCTGTGCTCCCACTGTTCTCAGCTCAGTTTTCGAGCTGGCACTTCTTCCAGCCGAGTAGCAATATCTATAGTGTGTTTCCATGCAGAATGCTCATGTAATACGAATTGCCTGGAAAAGGTAGATGAGAATAGTGGGGCTGCACCGATGCAGAGATTAGAAATCCAGAGATGAAAATAAATACATTTCTTTCTCTTTAGTTTGAACCCAAAGAGAAAAGTGAGCCAGCTGCATTGAAACCCAAAAAGATTAATTCCCCCTGCAACCTCATTCCATTCTAAGCATTTTTCCTGAATTGTCAGAGTAATTTCCTTCCTCTGCTCCCATCCCAAATGTCTCTTAGTCAAATATGATTTTGCTATTATTACTACTTGTATTACAGAAGGACTACGTCACAGCACATGACCTTCATATAATGCCAATGTCAGTAAAACACCGAGGATCAATGTTAGATTCTGTCTTTTGGGACTGAGTCTACCAAGTCTAGAAAGAGAAATAGATAACCAAAGTGTAATTCTTTGTTTCTGGGCTTATTCTGGTCACTTACGAGGAATGGGATTTATCTTTTTTTCCTCTCTTTGACATACTACTTTTGTATTTAATTTATCTTCTTCTGTATATGGTTATTTTCTTCTGTATATAGTTACACAGTTGTTGATTTTGTGTCAGAAAGGAATTTCTCCCCCTGAGTCTCAGGATTGTTGAATGTACGTCAGGGCATTTTAATTCCCTCTTAAAGCCAGGGCTGAGAATGATGGCAATGTCATTGGCCTTTCCTGCTCCGTCACTGTGGCATACTGTAGTTTTCCCAGAGTTTACCTTGAATCTGCTAAAGCTCTTCCCTTTGTGCCATGACATCAAAATATGTTTTGTGGGGTTTAGAGTGTGTGTAGCATGAAATGAATGTTCAGGGATACCTCTGAATGAAAATTCAGCAGCACATCTGCATGCAATTCCTAGGCTGGGCTCAACCCAAGGGGCACCATGCAACGAGACTTGACTTGACTCTAAGAGATGTGAACTCCAGTGGTGTTTGTGCTTGAGGTTTAAAGCCTTCTCCACAAGCCCATGCCTCTCTAGAATGCATGAGCAAAGGCACTGAAAGTCTTATTTTAAACATGGAATTATGTCTGTCTGAGAATGTGCATAATTCCTCTTCAAATACAATAAATACAACTATGGAACCCTACATACTGTGGATTTGCCATGGAAACATAAGGAACTTAAAGAAAAACATGGTTTCTAATCCATTCTTTGAGTTAACATTGTAGCAAAATCAAACAAATGAGAATTGTCTGAGAAGCAGAAATTAAACTGAAGAGCATAACAGATCATAAAATCACTACCTTAATAAACATAACAAAATGTGAAGCACAAAAAAAGAACAACACAGTTTTGAGGTTTGATGTGTGGGTCAGTAAAACACCTCGGAAATGCCTTAGGAACAATTAGGAACATTCCATTTTCCAATTAAATATATTAGAATGCAAACAACATTCTAATATATTTAGGTTTATTGTAGCTGAAAATAATTCTTATTTGATCTAAATAATGATAAATGTAGTTAGCTGAGATATTTAAAACAATAAAATCGGAAGTTTGTACAAAACCCAGGACTATGTCACAATACTCTGTTAGGAAAAGGAATTTAGTATTTATGGAGCTGAAATAAATGCAACAAGACGAAAGAACACAAAGGGGAAATACTGACTATATTTATGGATATGCACCGAGAGATGCAAAGCAAATGTAGGAAGATGTATTTGCTTTTGTCTGAAAGTTATAGAGGAAACTGGGTCACTAAAATAGTCATGTACTAAATTCATAGTGCTGCTTTTAATATGCATTTAAGAAAAAGGATTAAAAAGCCACTTCTGACAAGAATAATAATTTAACTCTAATTTATTCTACTCTTAAATCCATAGATTTTTTTTGGGGAAGAAATGATCTATTTTTGAGAAGGCTGGTCCTATAAAGCATAGTTCTGAGAGAGAATTGACTTACAAGAGACACTGTGGAATTATTTCGTTATCTGCTCCCCCATGTAACTAAATATTCACTTGTACTTGTGTGTCTAAATACAGGCAAAATTTTCATTTGGAAGGTGCATATCTCTGATCATTCCTTAAACTACATTTACCCTTCTCTTCTAGAAGAAACAGGCTCACGGAAACAGCTTTTCTTTAGTGAACATGAGAACAAAGGCAATTCTGGGAAACACAGCTGTGGCAAACTGAAGCTGATTTCAGATGCAGTACTGAAAAACTAAATATCCTCGAAGAAACAGTTACACACCATAACAATTTTGTAAATCACATCCTTTTAAAGAGATATAATTTTTAAATTATCTATTTTAGTATGATTTTAATGGGAATAGTGATTTAGAAAGAGTTGCTCTGATTCACACTAGCTAAGAATCTTCTCCAAAAAGTCTGTGCACAATCAGAAACTTAAAACCATATCACTACATTAGGCATTTAGATAAATATCTTTTCAGAAAAGAAACAGGAAAGGCTACAAACCAATCAGTCCTTTCTTCCTGCTTACAAGCAAAAAAGGATTTTCTTGATGAACCTTTAGAACAATTGAAGTCTATTGCTCTTCAAAAATTTCTAACAGGAACATCTAACTTTTTAAAAGAATTTGCAAAAATCACAAGCAAAGCTCCTGTGAGTCTCAAACTCCTTTAATTAATAATAATAATAAAAAGGAAATGAAAATCACGACACCATTATGGTTTTTGTGAACATATGAGGGTATTAAAATGTAAGGAAATGAACTGCACATACTTTTGGAGTAGAAACTTACTCATGAAGAAATTAAGAGTAAAGACAGAATTCAGGCCAAAATAATTCACACAAAACAACACAAATACATGCATCAGTGAGCTCCAGTAAATGTATTGAACATACTGCCAAACAAAGCCAGAAATGTGCTGCACAACCAGCCAGGTGTTGTTTAACATGAAATTGAGATCACAGGGAACACAATGAGGAGATGAGATTTAAAGCTACTTAACAAAGCTTCCTTACTGTGCCAAGTAGCTTTTTTTTCTGCTGCCCTTTAATATTTGTCAAATAGAAGTGGAGTATACTCAGTCTGCTATTTAAAGATGCATATCAGGCTGTAATTCTAAATAAAGAATGTGAAACATAGATGTCTTTGGAATGAATTTTTGGTTTGAAACTTAGCACTTCTTCCTGCTTCTTTAGCCTAAGGTCTATTTCTCACTAACTTATGGCACTGTACCAATTTCTGAAGAACACATGCTAAGGTTAAAGGTCTCTGTCAAATCCGTTCCACATCAGATACCAGGATGCCATATGTTAAGACATCTCCAGAATTTATCTTAGCATTACATAGTTTTGTATAAAGAAAGTGGCCAGACACTACTCTTGGCTTCAGTCCTTTACATAGTTCCACTGAAGGGAAAATGGGGTGGGGGGAAAGGATTAATTCCACAACAAAATAATGAATAACATGAAAAAAATGATACAATAATGCTGGAGAGAAGACTCTGTCCTACCAAAGGCAGATATTAATTGAATCAAAATAAAATTCAGTCAAAGCAGTGGAATTTTGAAAATGACTCATCTCTTCACACATTGATTTAGACCTTCTGATGTGCCTTATTTTAAGCAATTCCTAGGATGCTGTTGAAATAAAAATCAACAATATTCAATGAATAACCTCTAAAAAAACAGCAGAAAGAATAATCTGTTTTCTATGGATATGTGTTTCCAGACTGATTAAATCTTGTGTCAAAGAAAATCCCAGCTCTATTTGAAATTCTTTCTGCTGCTTTGGCATTTATAAAAGAGGATTCTCTTCTGCTTTATAAGTGGTGAATGCATGGTGCCACTTTCTTACAAATAAAGCACTAATGAGAATCTCTTCTCATTGGCCACCTGTTTTAGCAAAATATTTGGAGACCTGATTTCAAATTTCTCCACAAGGTGGCAAATTCAATCAGTTTTGGTTGAAATAGATGTGAAAATTAACTAAAGGAAAGACTAGGCACATATAAGGAGTGTAAGATCTATACCTGTGATTGCATAAGATGTATTTCCTTAAGAAATTATGCTAATTAGATCTATACATCAATGTTTGGTATGGGTCTTATCAGACAGATTATTACACTAGATGGAAGTAGACACTAATCTAGTCTAACAGCTAGCATATTCTCTACATAAAGAACATATATTTAAATACATCTGTGTTGATATGTGAGCATATGTGGAATAAGTCAACTGGAACAACACTGAAGTTATTTTCTTTCCTTTTTTTTCCACCTTTACAGAGTATTTGGTGCTGCTATACTTCTGACATCTTCCCTCAACATGTTAATACCGTCTGCAGCCAGGGTGCACTATGGGTGTGTCATCTTCGTTAGGATCTTGCAAGGCCTTGTAGAGGTACAGAAAAATTATAAAATATCCAGTAAATATGATAGATGCTTGTTAGCTTTTAATTAGCAATTATAACTTTTCAAGGTACAACAAAATTTGCTTTCAGTTTATTACTGACTTTCGGTGTAGTGGATTTCAATGTATAAATTAAAGCTATTTCATCTTCATTAACTTAAAAAATTACATAGCAAAGATTTTGCCTTGCCGAGAAGCCAGTGAGATGCATATTTAACACTGAAATCCTGCACTACATAGGGCTTATACTGGTGCTATTCTCAACAGTTATTTGCTGTCCAGCCTCACAACTAAATCTATAATAACGAATTAAACTTCTATCATAGGCTCTGACCATGCTTTTGTTGGAATGAATGAGTTTTATCTTAATTTAAAAGAGAAAAAACCTGAGCCTGCCTTCTAAATTTATTTGTTTGCTTGTTTCTTTACTGAAAAGCAGATTTTCAGGCCTATGATGGCTGGTTCTTTGTTTCTCAGGGCTACACACTTGTGTTATATAAGCTCATTTCACCTCATGCACTTTATTGTATGAAGACTCCAAAAGTGGGTGCAGAATGTGCCTGAGAGTTAGGTAACCAACAATCGAGTTCTTAAGAGTATATGTGAATAAATATCCATCCATTCCTGAAAAATGATCTGTGTGTACAGAAGTGTGTTTAACTGCAAAGAGGACAAGAAGAGAAGCAAGTGGGTAATTAAAAAATAAAATAGCTATTTTAAAGCCATTCATTTCTGTGATACTATTCAAAGGAGTTGTGAATGTAAGCTATCTCAAACAGGATCATTTGAAGAAAGTTTTCAATAAGTCATCAATTGTCATAAGACAATCTTAAGGTTACATCTTTACTTTTCTTGAAACTGAAATAAAAAGACTGAAATGAACATGTCACTGGTTATAGGATCTTTTTTCAAAACAGAAGATTGTATTTTACAAACTTTTTGTTTATTAAGACTGATAATCTCAACCTTTATGATAATCTCAACATTTGCCAGAAATTATTAATTTTTTCTACTTCTTGCATTTGAAATAAAATAAAAAATTAAGAGAACAGTGACTCTATATAACTATACATACATCATATTATTTTTAGAGCACTAATTTTATGAAAAATTACTGTTTATTTCATATTAAATTTCTAAAATTTCAACACTGCAAGACATGATGATTTCTGTGTAGTTTTCCTATCATTGGGTTAAAGGCTGGTTTTGAAAAGAAACTTAAAAATAACTGGTTTGAAATTGAACCAACTAACTTCAGCCAATTATTTGCTTAAGTGCTCAGGAAAGTTCATTTAAGACAAAGGTAGTGAAAAACTTCAAGCTTAACATTATGTTTTTAAGTTCTTATTGATCTTACTTTCTAGTTTTGGAGCAGTGGAACAGTAATCTGTATTTCCTAAATTGTACTTTAAATGTTAGTTCAAAAATGTTAGAAGACCACCAAAACTAAGGGTTGGAGGAATGAGCCCAGTATTAGAAAGATGTCAGAAGGTCTGTGCTTTCGCCCTTCTTTTAACTCTGGTACTTGTGATTAAGATTCTTTCTTTTTAATTCTTTGTAATTCTTTCCTGGAAGGGGAAGCAATAGGAAATAATTATGTTTTATATCTGTATCATAAGGCTTCTTTCATGATTTGAAGTGATATACAAAACGCATTTAAATTTTGATAGAAATTGAAGTTTTTCTATGGCTGTGCTCAGACTTGACTATAGAAATGCAAAGCACCCTCAATTTCTTGTTTGTAGCAATTAAAAATAATGCAAAGACAACGAACTGAGTGACTGATTAGCATTAGCTAACTTGTGGCACACTCATTCCCCAGGGGGTCACCTACCCTGCCTGCCATGGTATTTGGAGCAAGTGGGCCCCTCCATTAGAAAGAAGTAGGTTAGCAACCACTTCCTTTTGTGGTAAGTAACTTTCTATCTTCATCTTTCATTTGTAACATAAAAGTATTTTGAGTCTGAATTTTTCTCCCTTTTCATCCACACATCTTGTTTTGTAGGTTCCTATGCAGGAGCTGTTATTGCAATGCCTTTAGCTGGAATTCTAGTGCAATACACCGGGTGGTCTTCTGTGTTCTATGTGTATGGTATGCATTTTTGCTCATCTCAATCCAATACTGTACAACCTTACTCTATCCCTTCTAAAAACATGAAAGCTACTGTTAAGAGGTCAAAAAGAAAGGGAAGTGGGTACCTAAAGCTAAAAATACAGTCTAGAGAAAAGGACAATGAAAGAAAAGAGTTTAAAGGAGAGAGTAGAAAATCGACATTATTAAATAAGAACAGAAGCAAGTCCATGGTGAAACCTTCATCTTTTCTAGTATAAGTAGTGCAAACATACAGATCTGCAAAGTCTCAGGTCATGTAACATTGCTCTTTCATTTATACAACTGTACATTTAGAGTACCTGCCCTGACTGTTATGTCCTGATTTTTATCTGAAGACCTACATAAAAAATGTAGGATCAAACATTGGCTGGATGGTTGGGCCCAGAGAATGGTGGTGAATAGAGTTAAACCTAGTTGGTGGTTGGTCACGAGTAGTGTTGCCAAGGGCTCAGTGTTGGGGCCATTCCTGTTTAATACCTTTATAAATGATCTAGATGAGGGGGTTGAGTGCACCCTCAGTGAGTTTGCAGAAGACATCAAGTTAGGTGGGAATGTTGATCTGTTTGAGGGTAGGAAGGCTCCTCAGAAGGACCTGGATAGGTTGGATCTATGGGCTCAGGCAAGTTGTGTGAGCTTTAACAAGTCCAAGTGCTGTGTCCTGCACTTGAGCCACAACAACCCCCCAGCACCTTGAGTACTGTGTTAAATTTTGGGCACCACAGCATAAGAAAGACATTGAGGTGCTGGAGAAGGTCCAAAGAGGGGTAACAAAACTGGTGAAGAGTCTTGAGAGTAAGATTTATGAGAAGCAGCTGAAGGACTTGGGGTTGTTTAGTCTGAAGAAAAGGAGGCTGAGGGGAGACCTTATCACTCTCTACAACTACTTGAAAGGAGGTTGTAAAGGAGTAGGTGTGGATCTCTTCTCACAGGTTACAACCGATATGACAAGAGGAAATGATGCCAAGTTACACCAGGGGAGGTTTGGGTTGGATATTAGGAAAGACTTCTACACTGAAAGGATTATCAAAGACTGGAACAGGCTGCCCAGGGAAGAGATTGAATCACCATCCTTGGATGTATTCAAAAGCCATGTAGATACGGTACTCAGGTACATGGTTTAGAAGTGGTCATGATAGAGTTAGGTAATGGTTGGACTTGATGATCTTAAAGGTCTTTTCCAACCATAACAACTCTATGATACTATGATTCTGTAACTTCATTCACACTAGTTGGTGTACCTTAACTTACACTGATGATGTAAAGACCCAAAGGAGTTTATTCTGCAGTGTAAAGCTGATGTGAATTAGGGGGAAAGCTTATAGAAATTTAATAAACTACTCAGGAAGCGCACTGCTATGCTGAAAACAATGCCACAATCTTCTATTTTACTGGTAAAAAATTTAGTGCAGTAATCAAACAACAGTTGCTTAAAGCAGAAAGGAACTTCATTTCACGGGGAAATGAAATGGAAGCTGTTTCATTGCATTGTATTGTACACATTGATGTTAAAATATCAGTGAATATTCACTTATAGTGAAATTATTCTGTAAATGAAACAAAGAGGACTTCACTGTGCTCTAGCTCTGCATGTATTTTGCACAAATACTGCTTGCATTATCTGACTCTCTGCTAGAATGACTCAGTAGAGATGCAGTAACAACAATTGCCGTTTAAACCCGTCATAATTATTCACCTATTTTTTCCTTGTTTGCTGCTTTACTGTGCATTTCTTTTTAAAGTCTTTCTTTCCATTCCAAAGGGAGCTTTGGTATAGTCTGGTATATGTTTTGGCTTTTGGTTTCATATGAGAGTCCTGCAAAGCATCCTACGATCACAGATGAAGAAAGGAGATACATAGAAGAAAGCATTGGAGAGAGTGCCAACCTCCTAGGTGCAATGGAAGTAAGAATGTTACTCGTACACTTGTTTCCCATGAGATAGTAACAAAAACAACAAAAAAATTAGAAACAATAAAAAAATCAAACATGGATTTTTAAGACATAAAAGTATTTTTCAAACTTTTTTGGAGAGTGGAGAGATCTGAACTCTGCTGATAAGATTTCTGGGTAGATATTGCTTCTGCCCAAAGAGAACACAGGTTCCAGTTCTTCAAGCAGCTCACTCATGGAATTTATGCCTCTTTTTCTGCTCCAAAGTATAACCCTGCCTCTCCCCAGCTACATTTCAAATTGCAGCTTTACTGAGACTTGAGTTCAAGTGGTTCATTTCCTTCCTGTATGAAATCTTCAGGAAGGTTATCCTCTTCCTAAAAGTAAACTGGAGGAAAATCACTACTCAGTGTCTCTTGACGTCCTCAGAACATCAGAAACAAAGCAAATCCTGACTATTCTATGTTTCATTTGCAATAGAGCATGCTAGGAGAGCCATAAGAACATTCCCCATTATCGTGGTAATTTTGCTGATAACATGTTATCAAGCCTCTCATAAACTCTCTTAGTTCTGTACTGGTTCAGTTCTCCAAACACCAGACATGAATTCAGAGAATATTCTAGCTACTTAATAATCCTATCATGCTAACTGATAATTTTCTTATTTCTTTAACTTTTGAAAAGCTTTAAAGAAAAAATCACCGTGCTTACTAACTCAAGAAAGTAAAAAAAAATTGTTTCTGAATGCTCACTTCATTTGCTCAAATATTTATACCATTCATTCCCAGTAGACCCTCACGATCGCTCTTCATTGTGTTTTATAATCGATCAGATCATTGGTTCTTAACTGAACTCAGGAATGAACCATTTTTCTCTTAATAAAACAACCTTTGATCCAGATTAAATAAGGAACTGGAAATATTACAGAATGATTTCTTTGATAGCTGACATTTTTAGGTGTTCTTGTTGTAGTGTCTAGATTGATATTTAATAGCATTCAGCAATGTTCATGGTTTCTTATACCTATAACTGCTTTTGAAGATCTTAGATGAAATTACATACTTCAAAGGATGTCCATATAATTCTAACTTGGGCTGGATAATTTCTATATTTTATTTCTACTTTTTAATTTAATAATTTTTTGGAAGTGATTAATTTGTATCTATAGTTCAGTTGCTTCTAATATATTTAGGCTGAAATTCTTCACATAATATCAAGCTGGCTTTCCTGGCTGGCTTCTTATTGATTAAGTCACACTTAATCCTTAACTGTCACTTAAGCATAATTTAATAGGTATACAAGGTATTGCATACCTATGGCCTGTTTTTCTGTAAAGGAAAAACAGTATTCAAATCAACGGTAGACCAAATTAATTCTGAAACCTCACTGAAGTGATTTTTAAACACTCGTCTGGGTCTGGATGTGTATTTGGATCAACACAGATGGGCAGAACCCTGGGCTTATGGAGAGGTGCTGGGACTCAGCAGGATTGTAGTTCTGTCCATCTGTCTTGGTATTTTTCATTACACAATTAATTTTAAAAATACAATAAACAAACAAAAAATGTATTGACCAAGCAGTTTCAGCTGGAGTTTGATAAAAAATTGTCCCAAATGTTGGGATTAAAATTTAAATGTTTAAATACATGCCTAAAATAAATCTGGTTGAAATAGTGCACTTAGAGTGTAAAAACTGATATAGCAACATTATGTCTTAAAGACATTATTATTTTGGACTTAGTATATTCATGTCTACATAATTGAGATAGTGACACTCGTATATGGGTGTTATCATACAGCTAAGTATTCCTGAGTTTCTCCATTTTGTAGTAATTTTTACTTGCTTATGATTTCAAATTAAATTTTCATCATCCAAACGTGGATGAATGTACTTCATTCATATATATAAAGCTGTGCATATATGAGCTTGATAAATATAGGTATAGGTAAAAATAACACATAAGAAAAGGGATGATAGAGAGCTGATAATGATCAGAATATTGACTGGATTCCCATTTCTTTGTTTCAGAAATACAAAACTCCATGGAGAAAATTTTTTACATCTATGCCAGTCTATGCAATAATTGTTGCAAACTTCTGTAGAAGCTGGACTTTTTACTTGCTGCTTATCAGTCAACCTGCTTACTTTGAGGAAGTGTTTGGATTTGAAATAAGCAAGGTATGTAAAACTAATGTAAAGCTTTTATCTCAGCAAAGTAAATATTAGAGCTACATTTGTGGTATTTATTAGGAGGAAGAAAGAAAAGTGTTCTGAATCTTTATAATGGGTTTACAAGTCTTAAATCTTATCCCTCCTAATTACTGTTACCTTGACCAGCTCATATGAGTTTGGTAACAACAATGACAAAGGATTGTTTAGGGGAAGGTGGAGGTAGGATAAGATTTAGTGGTGATTTACCTAGGGTCATATTGCAAAAAGACTTTCAGTTAAGTGCTTGAAACCAGATCATGCAAGGTATTATTAGAGAGGTATTGAGAGATCCATTACACTTCTGTCCCTGACACCCCAGGGATGCAAGATCCCGCTGAAGATGTGAAGAAGTCACTGTATAGTGATTCCATTTTTCCAGGTTTTTGCAAAGCAGAGCCACCTAGTTTTAGGAAGGATAGTACAATTTATCACATTTCTATATCCCCCTCTAACGTGGTGAGAACTGCTTCTGCTTTTTCACTTAGGAAGCGAAAGAGATGGTGACAAAGTATGAGACCTAGGGATGATCTAAGGTTCCACAAAATTCATACATACTTTGGATCAGACCTGTACTGTGGTTATGGACACATGCAAACAAGGCTTCAGAGTGTATAGTAAGCTTTCTACTAATACAGATTTCCTTCTTGTGTAAATCATGAGGGCTTGTGCTTTTGAGAGACCTATATTCTTTTGATATTGTTCCATGAGGTATTAAGTCATCATAAATTGTGGTGCAAGTGACAATTAGACGAGTAGCTTCCAAACTGTTGCCATATTATGGAGTATTGTCAAAATTCTGTAATGCCATCCTGCATTTAAAGATGGCTGTCCATCTTTAGCTGAAGCCATTTTAAGAAGCTTTGTTTTGCCAGAAACATCATCTGCTATATATGCAATAAGAATGATCACATCCTATAGAATTAATATTTTTTTTTTCTAGAAGATTTTTCTCAGAGTGCATTCAAAGAAATGCAGAGCTTTGTAACGAGCATCAGCGAAGTCAGTTTCCATTTGCTGTGGATATGCATGCTTATAAGTGAATAGGTATCATTTAGTCAGAAACACCTCAAAGCAGTAACTGCAATACCATAGCTACCTCATAGTTAATATCTGGCTTATTGGGAGAAACAATAAGCTAGCTGTCACAAGATAGTCATCACATATAAACTGCAGTGACATGCACAATTTCACAACTTCAGCTGAAGATTAGAGAAAAATTGTTTTCTTTTTGTACTCATGGGGTCTGCTTTGCATGCTGTTGTAACTCAAGTCAGACATCACGCCAGACTGATACACTGTTCAGATAGGAATTACGCAAAGAAGCATAAGCACATTTTCATACATACACAATAATCAGAATTCTCTATTAGAACAAAATGCCACGCATACTAATCCAAGCTACCTGCCAGGCAGGAGAGAGAAGAGTTTGTGCCCCACTCACTTTGAAGGAATAGTCTTCAGATATATTACTATATCTTGGGGTAGTCATCACAAAATTACTATGTCTTACTTTGTTAGTATGTATAGCATTTTGATTACTGACAATGGATATTTAGTATGTTATCTTTCACTATGTACAAAGTTTCTCAGACATGCTCTTTGCCCATGTGAAATTTGAAGTTTGAGGGACGGTCAGAAATCAAACACAAATGGCCTTTGTGTATGTGAGGATGATCCACAGGGAATCTGTCTAGACATGTTAGGTTTGCTGGGCAATGCCACACCAAAGATATCACCAGCAGAAATGTAGGAACTCAGTTCAACACATTTGTTCATAAATGTCATGAAAAGGCAAAGAGGCCATAAGTCAGAGGAAAAAAAGCTGTTAGCTTAAATATAAACTGTGAAAACAATCTATAGACAAAAAGCGTCATGGCATCAGAGATTCTTGAAAACTTAAGATAACCAGTTTTGTTCATAATAAACCAAGTTGAGAGTTTTAGTTTTAGCAAACTAAATGAACTACAGAAATTGAAGAGAAACAATTAGTTGTTGAATGCTTCAGAAAATGGAGAATCAATATTTTCTTACAGTTTATACTTTGCTACTTCTGATTATTTCAGGTGGGTATCTTATCTGCTGTGCCGCACTTAGTGATGACAATTATTGTTCCTATTGGGGGACAAATTGCAGACTTTTTAAGAAGCAGGCAGATTCTCTCAACCACTACTGTGAGAAAGATAATGAACTGTGGAGGTAAGTTTTCCTATTTAATTAAAAAGCTTATAGTGTAGATTCTATGTCCATACAATATGCTGTATACAGTAAACAAACAAACTGCATGGTTTTATGTATTTATGAAACAATACTTCGTGCATTTTTTGTGTATTGCAGGTGTGGTTATTAAATAAAAGTAAACACAGTTGTTCTTATTCCCAGTTTCGATACAGGTTTTTGGTATTTGAAAAAGCATGTAGACTGTTAAAAAAGGAGATTACCTTTTTGGGCACAATTTTGCTTACTCTTAGGTACTTACTGAATCTTAACTCCTCATGTAAACACCCTCTACGTTAAGAGAGCATAGACACCTACCTGAGATTACACGTCTGACTTTTGAGAGGTTAAAGGCACACGAGCTGGCTGTGATAAGAGCTGCAAAATTCATAAGCAGGTTAAGTGTATATTCCCATTAGGACTGGCCAGAATGACCTATCCAAATCTCAACTATTTATTTTCATCTTAAAGCTGACAGAAAGTAACAATAAATTAGAATACAAAGAATAAAATAAGGATTATTTGAGATAGCTAGAACATCTGTTTTTTAGTGATGAAAGAAATACCTGATTATATTCCACTCTGAGGTAATGTATTGTGTCTGTCTTCCTACAAAGTATTATCATATTCTAAGGCCCTCAATATTTGAGAGGAAATGAAATCTGATGCCTGGTTTTCTTTATGATTTCCCAAGGTTTTGGTATGGAAGCAACTCTTCTTCTTGTGGTAGGATATTCTCATAGTAAAGGAGTGGCTATTTCATTCTTAGTGCTTGCTGTAGGCTTCAGTGGATTCGCCATATCTGGTAAGATGATGTTACTGTTATTAGTAAATTATTTTATCTTAACAGGTAGAACATCACATTTATTTTTTATTCATTGACAGTAATTTAAACAACCCTAAGAATTCCAAAGGACAGTATTTATGATCACTAGGAAGTTACAATCAGTACCACATCTTATAGATTAGATTATTTTTGTTGAAATACTTCAATATTTTCCATATTCATTACAGCAAATGAGACTTTACTTTCTGTGAGGTGCTAATGTACATCATAAATTTTTCTTGAAATCAAACATTAACACAAATGGATTTATATTATATGTTACCTAAATTTACACATCTTTGTTTAAATATAGGCCTTTTACTACTTTTTCTACTATTTATTAGTTAATGCTTTGTTTTGCACTTTCTTATTACTTTGGGGCCTTATTACTAGCAATTTTTTTCTGATTTAAAATTCCACTCTTCCCCTTCCCTGCTGATGTATCACTCCTTTGTCTTTGCCTTTGCTTTTCCCAAACACAGGTCATCTGGCCTTCCATTCTTTTCCCACTGTGATCTTAGTATCCTCTCCCATGCTGGTTCCTCATGTCTAAAGTGAGCTCTTGTTTTTTGTGGGGTTTTTTTTGCATTTTTTGTTTCATTTGGTTTTTGTTTTGTTTGGGGTTTGTTGTATGTTTGTTTGTTTGTTTGTTTTGGTGCCAAACTTCTAAACACTCCTTAATCAAATCTGTTCTTAATTCCACATATTCGGCAAGGTATCGTGCCTGTCTGGTACAACTTGAAAAGTGTATCGCACTTTCTCTAACAGTTATCCATATCATACTGTCTGTCATTTCCATTTTATTATCTTCCTGTTTGGTTCTTGTTTTCACTTATCTCAGTGCTTATTTTGAGGACAATGAGTTCTGTCACTTCAGAGAAGCACATGTTTTTTCTAAGATTATTTAAATAGTCGCTGCATAAACTTGAACAGAATTAAGCAGCTGGAAATGCAAGAGAACAAATAAATTTTTATATAAATAAGTAACAAATCATTTATAGAATTTGTCTTTTTAACTTCCATCATTTTACCACTTAAGAACAGAAGAGAACACCTGGCTCCTCTGTCTCTCTGTCTGACAAAAAGAAAAATGTGGACAATAGGAAGGAAAGCGGTACAAGCTGCAAGAAGAAATTACATCTTTTTTACAGATTGAAATGGTCATGAATGACACGGCAAAAAATATGAACTTTCTCCCTGACTAAATATCTTCTGGGTTCTCCACTCCACACAGTCACTACTGGGATTTTTAAAAAACCCCTGCAATTTTGGGAGGAAAATACATTTGGTGTCCTTTTATAACATATTTTTTTAAGAAAATGAAAACCCAGAGTCCTTGTAGAAATATTTTACCACTACAAGCCTTTCAGAGAATAAGAAATGCAATTAAACAGCCCAAATATGTCAGAGTAAAATTGTCAAGTGATAGCATTACTTTTCAGACCTGAAGTAATGCTCTGCTTTTGGTATAAATGCTTGCTGACCTTTGTATTGCAGGATTCAATGTCAACCATTTAGACATTGCCCCAAGGTATGCCAGTATCTTAATGGGGATTTCTAATGGAGTCGGGACCTTGTCTGGAATGGTTTGCCCTATAATTGTTGGAGCAATGACAAAGAACAAGGTAAACAGCAATACAGTTTTCAAACCTTCCTGATTAATATTATTGGTTTCAAGAAAAAGACTTTTTCATAGTACAGTTTCCCAGGATATCTGTATTAGAGTCTGGTACCTCCAGGGCATAGCATCCAGGAACTTGCAAATATTAAGCATGCTTCACTATGTGCTTACCTGGTCAATGCTTTTGTAGGCTAATGAATAGTGATTTTTCAAAGAAAGATGGATATAAATAATTGGAAACTGGACACTTAAATATTTTAGTTGTGCTGACTAACACAGCCTCAATTCCTAATTTAAATCTTTCAGCTCAGAAGGTTAAATAAGTCTGTGGACTAGTCTGATTTAACAAATTTCCTTTTTACAGACACGTGAAGAGTGGCAGTATGTCTTCCTCATTGCTGCTTTAGTTCATTACGGAGGTGTTATCTTCTATGGCATATTTGCTTCAGGAGAGAAACAACCCTGGGCAGACCCTGAACAGACAAGTGAAGAGAAATGTGGCTTTATTCATGAAGATGAACTTGCTGAAGAGACAGGGGACATTACTCAGAATTATGTAAATTATGGTACCACCAAATCTTACGGTGCTACAACCCAGGTCAACGGTGGCTGGCCGAACGGTTGGGAGAAAAAAGAGGAATTTGTACAAGAGGAAGTACAAGACTCATACAACTACAAGGAAGGAGATTATTCATAACAAACCTAAATATTGGGTATATTTTGTAGTGTTTGTGATTAAATTCATTGTGATTGTTTGCACAAAGAAATAAAATGTGGTATAAACATTTAAACACATATCAAAGAGGAAGGTCTTACTGTAAAAAAATACATCAAAGTGCAATCTGTATGAGTTGTGACATGTCATCACTTTCATTAGGTTATATTTGTTCTATAAACATTAGAGTTTTAAGGGTTTACTGGTCAAAACTATAGAGGCAATTACATACTTACAGTATACAAGAGCTAAAACTCATAACTAAGGATTAAAGCACAACTAAGCAACCAAGTTGGCACATCTAATGCTGTTTTTAGAAAGCCAAAATTACTTGACCATTAAAAATGCACTTATATATTTGTTACACTGTATTGAAAGAGATTGTGTTAAATACACACGTTTACTCAGTGCAATGTAGGATTTGTGTGTTTAGTCTAAGACAAGAGCTTTCTTAAATAAGAAAGGTTGAGTCCTAGGCATTTACAGAGGATTGATCCAGTTCCTCTAATGGTAATTGTATCAAGCCTAAAGAACAAATAGGGCATATTGTATGTTTATTGTGATTACATGCTGCAGGCTACTCTGTGATGAATAATGGAATTATTTAGGAGTTTTATACTGAATGTTTGGGCACAAATTCTCATTTCTATCCTTTACAGAAACTTATGAAATTATAGGTATTGTCATGTTCTTCCCTGCATTATCAACTCATATAAAAACAATATCTAATGTTAAGTCTGACTTTTCATGCAGACTGTCAAATCCCTGTACTAAAAAACAAGCTTTATTATTCTTTTCTTTGCAGTATATTCCAACTTTGTACTGTTGTCTTTAGAGAGAGAAAAAAACTAAACAATATAACCTAGAAAAAGATATAGTCTTTTACGATATTCCAAAGAGAAATTTACTATGAGCAAGTAGCCCTATGAAAAAGGATGTATTTGTTTTGCAGAATATTTTGAAACCAATAGAAGAAACAGAGAATAATTTAACCCTTATTCTTCCCTTAATAGCTTTCATATTTTTACACATCGTGCCACAGTTGTATACATAGATATAAGTTTATTGAAGATACTGTAATTATAGAAAATTTTGCTATTTTAGAAATCCCTGAAATAAAAAATGTATTGTCTTTCGATTAAACCTAATAATAATGGACACTGAATATGAGTAACATATAAACTCACACTAAACCAAAGTGGCAAATAACTAGTGTTGGGTTGAAAGAAGCCAACAAGCCTCACGCTTGTCTTTTTAGCATAACTCAACAGTGACTGCAACGTTAGTGTACCAAGCAATAAGTGCAATGCATTATGAAGTGCATATTCTTCTAGACTATATATTAACCTTCATTTAGCTTGTTGTATATATTTGGGGTTGTTGGGACTAAACCAAACTGAACCAAACTGAGGTTAGCAACACCAGACCACTTCTTAATACTCTAAAATGACAGCAATGATCCATTTCTTAATTCAATCAAATGATTATTATTGTATGTAATAATCCATTCTGGATTCTTGGTCTGTTCATTGTATTGTGCTAGTGATTGGAAACCCTGCTACCGCAATATACAACTTGAGGATTGTTTCTTCTCCTTTTTTTTTTTTTTAAATGCAAATCATACCTTGACCTTAAGAAAAAAATATTTTGCTTTGTGCCTCAAAGTGATGTAAAATGTGACCATAGCTTTTGCTGTGTTTAATGAAAAAGATGTGGACTGTGTCACTTTTGTTGCTGCAAAAAGTGTTAATAAAATGCTCTATTTATCCTTTTATATAAAAAGGACCATTGTTTCTTGTCATTTTTTTAGACGCACTTTACTATAGATGACAAAAATTATAGTCACTGCAGAACAAATTCTACGATCAGCGTGAACACAATATCTTATGTCCCAGCTGGAAGGTCCTACATTGTCTGCTCTGAGCTCTGAGCATACACATATGTGTAGTGGGAGAGGAACCTAACTCCAGATTGCTGTTCCTCCTCTCATAAGGATGGCTTGAGTAGGTGTGGAAGAGAAAGGATCAGGAAGATCAGTGTGCCAGCCAATGCAGCAAAACTGGAAAAGGCAGATTAATCTGTGTTAGTTAAAGAGCTGATGTGTATCAGCATTCTCTAAAGCAAATAAAAAGCATCACAAACTGCTGTTCTTGGAGTTTGTTTCCTTCTTTGCTCCTGCAACAAGACTCCTTTAACTGAAACATAATGTTACTTTCCATCCATCTTTGGATAGACCCTACAGGAATCAATAAATTCGGCAAATCCTATATTAAAAGTAAGTCTTTTTCTAACAAAATTTTTACTCTTCACTAACTTTCTTTCACCAAGTAGAATGATGTAGAAGCACCAAACTGAACAAAAGGTTGCAAAACAGTAGACAGAACAGTAATGGGGCCAGTGTTTCTCACCAATAGTTTTGTTATCATGCGATGTTGAGTCAGATAACACATAAAGTTACTGCTAATTGTTTTGATGAACCGGTGTGATGTTGCCATGGAAACATCCTGAAAGATACAAAAGTGGGATAAATAGGGGCTGTAGAAGTGGTGGTGTATTTATCATGGTAAGTGGACAGCTTAGAAAATGAAAACTAATTAACAAAATGAAAAGAAATGCTTAGTTTTTCAGTCTAATCTTGCAAGTTCTCTATCTTTCAAAATAGTTTCAATAATAATCTTTAATTAAATACAAGTAGTTTTTTTTATTAGTTTAACATCTTTTAATTACATAGAAAAAAGGAGAAACCTCAATCCAGACATTAGACATTGCACTGTCAGCCATGCACAACTCTGTGGGAACTCCACATTTGCCTTTAAATGCTGCAGCACTCTAAGATCCTACACAATTCTTTCTAACTCTCTGCTTCTGCTTTCAATCTTTTACCTTCTCTTTAAATGACAGTGCAGAGAAATACATTCTTCTTGGAAGGAAGAGGACCATGACAGATTTTAAGGTTTTTATTTCTTCAGATGCCTATTCACAGAAGATTACAGAAACCAAATGTCAGGAACATGACTGAGAAAGAAAAAGGGGAAATGGAGAAAGTAATAGGGTTCTTGCTAAAGGACGACTAAGTGAAGACAAGCAGCAAAAACTGCATCTCTTTTAGGGAAAAGGAGAGTTGAGGAAACATGACACTACATCTAAACTCCTACATTTGTTCCAATAAATATTTTTATATTTCACCCTTGCTACTTAATTTTTATAAAGTAACATTGCTAAAGCATATCTCTTCAGCATATTCTGAAATGTGCCCTGTCTGCCCAGTTGTTTCTCTTCTGCACCCAGATTCAATGACTAGCTTTGCAGATGTGTTGCACTTATATGACAAAGCCCTTAGAAGCTCATATCATCCCCGTTTATCAACCAGACTGTGCTTACAGTCATTCGATCATTTTGTTCTGTCACCTGTTTCAGTTCTGTTCTGTTCCCCTATCTGATACTCTCTGCTCACTTACTATGTTGGGGAAAAAAAAAAAGAAAAAAGGAAAGGAATTGTTACTCGCATTTTTGTTTATCAGTTAGTAAACTTTTCAGTGAAAAACAATAAGTAAAATGAAAAGGCAGAATCCAGGCTCCACAAAATCTTTAGAAAAGCTTTGAGTTTATGTGGTCTAGAATATCACCTTAAGCATGTACCTTTACGCTCTCAAATGATTTCATATAGATAGTATCACTGAAATAGTGACAACTTTTTAAATATTTGAATCTGCATTAGTAAGATGTGTTCTGTTAACACATGCTCTTTGTTGCAGTGATAAAGCTATCATAAAGTGCTCTTTGCTTTCAGAAGTGATAATGAAATTCAATGGACCATATTTCATAAAAACACTTTTCTATGGGGAAAAGAAAACCTCAAGGTAAAGGTTGAATAACAGTGACAAAAGAATATCTGCCAATATGAATGAAGTCTTCTTTCAGCGTGAAACAAGGAATAGGAATGAATGTGGAAGTCAGAATAAATGTCAGAGTTCAAAGCCGTACTGTTAGAAAGATAACATCACAGTCTTAGTTGCTGCCTCTGAGAGATGAAATGTTTTGTTCCTTTTAGGATAAGCTGTGAAGGAGTTTGAAGGCTAGTCTAAGTCCAGATTAACTGCTTAACAGCAGCTGCTTTTCTATTTATTTTGAATTTTTCTATGTTTTTTCCTGAATAGTTTTCATTGCACTGGAATATTTGATAGTAAATAATCAAAGGACCTAGGACTACAGTCAGATATTTTGTTTAGATATATATGTGCATCCTCTCTGATCCAGCTAATGTGTCTGATGTTGCTATTCTAGCTTTGCTTAACACTTTTTGCTCTCTTGTAACCTAAAGCATGGCAAAGAATGAAATGTGTTATATGTTCACATATGTACAACTAACGAAGTCTATGTACTTAGCCACACTGAGATCAAGTGCTCAGACAGTATCTTCCATGTTTGAGAATTAATGTCCTCTTTTAACCTTTTCAAAATCCTAATGTATCCTCAGCAAGTTTAAACAGCACTTGCATAAGTGTCCTCTCAAAACTGCAATAATCTACAATAAACATGGACAACAGCAACAAGTAACAAAAATTTTCAGTCTTACATAAGAGGTTTCATTGTTTTTGTTCTCTCTGAGAAGATCTTAAAATCTGATAGCTTCAGGGAACTTCACAACAGCAACTTAAAAAAGGTCTGTAAAACTCGATGGGGATATTGGCAGGAATTTCTTGGTGTTGTATTGGTTATATTGACACTTCCACTATCACATTTTCTGGGTCACAAATGTAGAATAATCTATTATTTATTTACCCCATAGCAGGAACTTAGCATTTAGTACTTACTTAAATTGATATAATTAAGTTTCATAGTATTTCTAGACATACGAATAGCCTAATATTATTCTCTAATTTAAGGGATCTTGAATTCAGAATGTACTTTTTCAGACCATCTCTGTTCTCTCTTGCAAACTAATATGAAAAATACCTTTCCTTAAAGAATTTAATTTATTTCACTTATTTGAACAATTGCAGTCCTGTCAGTGTTTTCAAGCTTCCTGTGCATCTCGCCTACTGAAAAAATCTGAACTGATTAAGCAGGACATGCACAGTGAATTAATTATACTTCCCAGGAAATGTTGGACTTACTATTTCCTTGCCATGGAGATGAATAGCACATGCACTGTAAAAATGTGCCAACGTTCACACAAACAGTGCCTGGTTTAAGTTAGTGTTCAGAAAATCTGAGTGGATAGCTGGGTGTGCAAGGACGCAAAGAGAAGAAAATATTTGAAAAATATTTCCGGCTGATACAAGCAGTTGTATCTAGCAGAATCCACATATAACATATATGATAGCCCAATACACTTCCTTAATTTTCTTCACCTTTCCGTAGCATCCAGGAATGTCAGAAAATCAAAGAGAAAGACCACCACTGTGCCAAAAATAGACCAAAAAGTTATGCTTGGAAGCAGAAAATTAACCAGATAAAAAAGCATTTTGAAAATAAATGATAGCATTGTTAAAATTGGAAGACTGCCATTCAATTAGACTTCATGTTGTATAATCAATTAAATGTGTCAACACTGGATAATTGCCGTAGATGGCCATGAACTAAATAAGTTTGTGAGGAAGGAGAGTATGATAATTTTCTTCAAGGTTAACATCAGAACAATCAAAAGAACTGCTTTGAGTTTTAATCTGGAAAGTTACAATGTTGTTTTCTTTTTTATAAATGTTGCTTTGTGGAATTAAAATTGTGTCAAATAAAAACACTGTCAAACAAACCTCAATTTTTTTTCTCATCTGTGTTTTTATGTGCAGTTATGTCTGATCATCGGATTGATAAAGCACAAACTGTTTACACTGTATAGATGAAGCACTGAATTAAACGTGGTGTATGAAAAGATGTATGTCAGCATGTGCATGTCTTACATAGACTATCACAAGGCTAGCTCTCCTTTAGGAGTCCTGAAGGTAATGGTCTATAGTTATTTCTTGACTGGTAGTGTGATGGTATATAATAGAATGGGACTATGAAGAAGTGAACTGACCATGCTTAATAATGATCATGCATTTATTAATAAAAATGTAATAATAATCTCAGCCTAAACTATAAAAGAAGAGCTAATCACACTCTTTTCAGCTCAAGTA